CAAGTGCAGGACTTTACAAGATTTACCAGATAGTAATCTATATTATAAAACTTCAATAATAAAAAAATGGTACTACTTAGATGTCAGAGCGTCAGACAACCTTGGGGAATGGCTACCTCTGCCCTTCACTTACAAATTAAGCAATAGAAGCCTGGAGAGGGAAGATCTTTTGCCCCAGTCTCATAGAAGTCATGGCCAGGTGAAGGACCATAGCTCCAGGCTGGTGTGTTGGTGTTGGCACTGCTTCCTCTACCATGAAGCCCCTCTTTTGGGTCACCACCTTTGGTCTTCACCTCTCGTTGGTCATTCACCTTGGGAGGGAAATGCAGGAAAATATCTGTCCTTTCCAAGAAATGGCTTATGTCATCCTAATGGGTGCTCACAGGGCCTGCCTATCAACTTAAGTACAGGAAGCCTTAGAACATACCCTGCTTTTAATCTACCCACTGAGCACATAACTAAGGAACCGTTTTACAAATCATGATTGTCATGGCCATGTTTCTTTAACTACCCAAATTGCTCCTTACTTATTTTTTGCGGTTTTTGTTGCACTTGCCAGTCTCACCTTTGCATTTCTTAAACACTATCAAGTATAAGTATCACCCAAATCTTCTGGATGTGCAGGTATTCTATTTTGATTAGAGAAAGAAATATGATAGCAGTATTATTGGACTTTGAAGTGTTAAGTGAGATAATTAAATTGAGATTTGCTGCCTGTAATAAGGGTTTGTGCCCTGAGGCAGCAGAGGCAGTTCGCTAACTCCAAGTTAGAGAGAAAACGTGAAACCACCGGGAGACCAGCAGGCATGCAGGCGGTGTCTGTGGCAGCCCACTTGTGCTCCAAATGCACAGGATGGTGTCCCCTTTGGAATTCATACCCTGCGGGAGTCACACACAGATCCTTTATCTCGGTTTCTGCTACTATTGACCACAAGCAAACAGATAGAACAATAAAATTCTTTATATATGTCTTACCTTGCTTTTCAAAACTCTAAACAAGTCTTGTGCAGTAGATTTACCTAATGCAAATCCTCGTCTGAGCTCTTGACTGCTGCTTTGACTGTAGGTCCAAGCATGGATTGATAGTAGGTTCAAGAGAGACAAATTCCTTGACAACTTGTCTCCATTGATCATAATGTTCCCTATTGGTCCAGTTGTGAGGATTTTGGTGTTCTTTACATTGAACTGTAATCCACACTGAAGGCTGCGATCCTAAATCTTTATTGGCAAGAGCTTCAAGTCCTCCTCACTTTGAGCAAGCAAGATGATGTCATCTACATATCACAGGCTATTAATAGGCCTTCTTCCATTCCTGATGCTTCCTTCTTCATATGATTGAGCTTTTCCTCATATAATATAAGGATATTGATTTAAAATATTGATAAATTGTGCTCCATCACAATGATAACTTTTTAAATTCCAAAGATAACATTAAGAATAATAAGCAATTAACATTGACGTCTCCCAAAACTCTGTCTGCTTCTGATCCCACCAGCCCAGAGACTTATTCCATTAAAATATTTAATTATGTTTAAGAAGTTTCCATATCTTTTCCCCCTGTATGCTCCAGCATAGTCATGGTTATAATTATAAAAGTGTATATATATATATA